GGGTGGCCGCCTTGTTTGACCTCAAGGCATTCGGTATCTAGAGATAAACTAGGATTGTCCTCTCTTAATTTCTTGTTTTTTTTTTTTTTTTGAACAGTAGGGAATTCTTTTTTGAGGAAAGGGGCTTTGGTATTTGATCCCAACTCTTGTATTCCTGAGCATGTCCCTGCAGAGGTGGCCATTGGGCCACCAAGTGCTGAACCTCTTAATATCTTGTTTAGTTTAACTTATTCGAAAATTTTGAACAATAAATTTTATTCTCTTTATTTGAGATTTTTTTTAAAAATAATTTTATAAAAGATTGGATTCAATCATTTTTTAGAGTGAAAAATACACCTAAACGTGGGAATGATGACACTGAACCTAACGCTCAAGTGCAAATTATTTAAGATTATACTCAAATCAATAACGAAAAGATATCGACTCTTTTTTTTGTCTTTTTCTTTTTTGATTTGTGAATATTTTTTTTAGTGGATAATGACAGGATGGACGATTTTTATGGGACGAAAATAAAGGAGTTTTATGTGGTAAATTTAGAGTGAAAGATACAAAATAATTAAAAATAAATGATTAATTTAAATTTACCACGTAAATCTTCTTTCACTTTTGTGCCACAAAAACGGTCTGCTTTGTCATTATCCTTTTTTTTTATATTTTTGTTTTTTTTGGGTGAAATTTATATTTTTTTTGTTTTACCATTGGGAGAAAAAGGCTTAAGAAGATAATGTACGTGTAGTGGAACCAGCAATTCAGAAACCCGAAACGCGCGCGAAGCGATTTAGGAGCACAGACTGAGCTCAGTTGGGAAGACACCATGGATACCCTGAGTCTCACTTCTTCCCTGATTTGCGTCCTATTTCTCGTTCTTCTTTCATCAACTTCTCCCTCTGAATCGCAATCGGATCAGGTACGATTGTTGTCTTCATCTGATCTCTTCGTTTTTATTTTCTTTCTCGATTGGATCGATTAGATTTCAGTTGACTCTCCGTTTGGCTGCCGAGAAAATCAAGAAAGGGGACTCAGATCAGTTGGCCATCGCGTTGAAGAGATGAATCTGTTTACTCGTTTTCAAGTTGATTATTCGTTTGGTTATCAATGAAAAGGAAATAAAACTGTGGATTTCAGTTATCATCTCTTCACAATTTATAGCAACATTCTTTTTTTTTTTTTGGGGGGGAGAAGAAAGAGTTTGGAAATTGGATTTATATTGAAGAATATGAAACTTTCAATTGCTATACATCTTTACCTGTTTGGTTTCCAAGAAAATGAAAGAAAAATATCAATTAAGCATGTTTACGGTTTTGTTACCATATTTATTTATTTATTTATTTTTGAGAAGATTCTTAGTGACTGAATGCGTGATTTAGTGGTAACGCTAATGAAAGTGAATTATGGTTGCAGTTCTGCAGTGCTGGTGTTGGATATGGTGAGCCACTATGTGGAGTTTCGTCATCTTTGTCATCGCCGAAGTTATTGATTAAGGGGGGAACTGTTGTAAATGCTCACCACCAGGAAATTGCTGATGTTTATGTGGAGGATGGAATTATTGTAGCTGTGAAGCCTAATATCATGGTAACATTATATTCCTGGTCCATTATATACTTTATTACCTACATCCGTTGCTAGAATATAGAAATTCGGTGTAGTTTGAGAAATTATAACCTAATAGCTAGCAAATTTTTCATGTCCTTGGTGGAAGTGAGCCAGTATTTGGATTCTTTACAGAGGATGAGTTTGGTTGGTTTACTATTTTGTGGTAACAGCTTATAACGAGTCAAACTAGAGCAATTCTTTGAATTAGTCCCCTTTCTATCACATTTATTTATGTTAATGAGTTCTTTTGTATGTATAGAATGGTGAATAAATATCATACTCGGTGACACGAATATGGATCTTTGATACAGCAGCATCCTTTCTTGTCTCGAGTTCTCTGGGTCCTTTAGTAATTCATTGACAATTCATTGCATATGATGTTTCTCATTATTTTTTGTCGTGTATATTTTACACGTACCTTATTAACTGTTTTGGCAGGTTGGTGATGATGTTACGGTAATTGATGCCACTGGAAAATATGTCATGCCAGGTTAACCACTATTCTATAAGAAATAATATCTTTGCACCAGAAATCTACTTTGAAGGTTAAGCATATAAGAAGGCACATAAAAGTTCAATCTTGTTTATCATTTTATGCATGTTTAGTACCACTAATTGCTTCATCAGTTTCCAGGATCTGCATGCCAGGGATAGTCTATTTATTTCTCTGTCATCTAGATGGACCAGTTATATTTGTACATGAATGAGATGTCAATTTGTCCTTTCTAGCAAGTGTGCCTGTTTCCCATGCCTATCCTCTGCAATATAACACTACATGACTTAATATTTACATTACATGCATGCTAGATTAAAACTTTTCTGTATTCTTTTATATTCAAAAAAAAAAAAAAAAACTGTTCTGTATTTATTACTCTTGACTTCAGTACTGCTCATCTAAGTACTCTATCCAAATTGTTCTCAACCATGAAACTAAATATGTCTGATTATCTCATCGCCACAAATTTACAGGAGGGATTGATCCTCACACTCACCTAGCTATGGAGTTTATGGGTACCCAGGCGATTGATGATTTCTTCAGTGGTCAGGCTGCAGCATTAGCAGGTGGAACAACAATGCACATTGACTTTGTTATACCAGTTGATGGAAGTTTAATGGCAGGTTTTGAAGCCTATCAAGAGAAATCAAAGAAGGCTTGTATGGATTATGGTTTCCATATGGCAATTACAAAGTGGGATGAAGTTGTTTCAAGGGAAATGGAAATACTGGTTAACAAAAAAGGTAAGCACCATTTTAACTTTGTGGTTCTTATAATTATCAGGTTGTCAAGGTTGCATAATCTGTCAATGGTTATTGATTGTGATTGGCCTTACTCAGGTTGACAGGA